CAAGCCACAGATACACTGCTCTCTTCAATTCTTCATCAGAGGTGAATCTTCATCCTTTTTCCAGAGTGTCAACAGTGTGGGCAGAGGTGTGTGGATGGGCATTGTCATGCAAGATCACAACGCCCTTGGATAGCAGTCCTCTGTGTTTAATCTGAACTTTAGGCATCAGCTCTTCAGTGAGCATCTCACTGGAATGAGCACTGTTGGCCACTGAACCTTTTTTCCTGATAATATTTCAATACTGGACCTTGAGAATCCAGGAAAACTGTAAGCACCAATTTTCCAGTTGATGGTTGACTTTAGAACTTTTTCTTGGTAGGTGTCTGAGAATGTTTCCACTCCTACTCTGCCATTTACTCTCAGGCTTGTATTGATGAATCCATGTCTCATCACCAGTAATGATATTTTTAAAAAGAAACTTTTACCTTTCTTCAAGTATCAGTCCAGGTTTTGTTTTCAGATGTGCACACCTCACAGTTCTGCCCACATTGTTGACACTTGACAAAAACTTCATTTTGTGGTGTTAAAGCATCCTCCGTATAGTCCTGATCCTGCTCTATCAGACCTGTTTGGCCCTCTGAAAGCAGCCCTTCGAGGGTGAAGATTCACCTCTGATGAAGAAGTGAAGATAGTGGTGCATTTGTGGCTCACAGCTCAGCCTAAAACATTTTAAAATAAGGGAATACAAAAGCTTGTTGACAGATGGACAAAGTATATTGAAAAGCAAGGAGATTATGTTGAAAAATGTATTTGTCCTTTTCTAAAAGTTGATTACGATAAAGTCTACAGTCAGAGTGGGGATAATTTTTGATTCACTCTCATATGTCAGTGGGTATATGACCACATCCACTCAGCCTGTTTGCCTATCATGTATCATTGCAATTGCAGGACTGTGTTTTGCAGTATTTACCTCTATTGTCTTTAACTCATACTCCCTGCATCTTCCCTTGCCTCTATCATTCTTTTGCCAATCTCCTTCTTATTGTATATTATTTTCTCTTCATCCAAGTTATTTCATGACTTTCAATTTATTTGTTTAGTGTTTGTCACCCACTGAAAGGTAACATCTGAGAAGATGGGGACTGTCTGTCTTGCCTGCTGCTATCAGGGTAACTCACAAAGCACTGCTACAAATTCATGGTGGTGGTGGTGGTGGTGGTGGTGGTGTGTTACGGAGTCAGTTCTGACTCATAGCGACCCTGTATGGGTTTCTGAGGCTATGAATCTTTATGGGAGCAGAAAGCATCATGTTTCTACCATGGAATGGCTGGTAGTTTTGAACTACTGACCTTGAGGTTAATAGCCCAACTCGTAACCACTATGCTACCAGAGCTCCTTTACAAATTCATAGAAACCTTGATTCAACAAAAATATCAAAATGTGAAGCTATCATTTCTTGATGTATTCTCCATCAGGTCTATACACATCTTAAGGGGATGGTTCCATCTTTCTAACCCTTCCCAAAAGAATTCTGTGCTCTTTGAGTCACGCCACATCAGAACTGTAGTTTTAGCATCCTTGTGGGACTGAAATCATGTTTCTTTTCAACCATCTTTAAGTTTTGAGAACAAAAAGAAGTCAGAAGTTGTGAGATTAGGGATGTAGTTTGATGGGGTAAAGTTTCCCGACAAAATTCGTGTAGGCCAGAACTTGCTACCCTTGAAGAACAAGCTGGTGCATTTTTTGTGTGATGACAAAAAAAAAATGTAGTCCATACAACTTTCTTGGCCCATGTCTCACAAATGTAGTTTTCAGTTTTCTTCATAATAAGTCCACATGATAATCCTGTGTCCTTCAAAAGAGTATATCAAAATTATTCCTTTAGACTCCCCCAATATGATCATCATAATCTTTTGAACTGACCTCTCTGCCTTAAATTGAACTGACCCAGAAGATTACCTCAGAAGCTGCTGTTTTAATTGGTCTTTGTTGTTGTTGTTGAAAACACCCTAATGAGATTAAGTGTATTAGTGAGAGAACGTGTTTGCAGCCATCCACAGTTTGCAGAGACATACTTAAACATGTTTTTTTTTTGGAATAAACCTGTGCATATATGAACTAGAACCTAAGTAGCAATGCTTTCTGATTCATCCTCATATATCCTCAGTGCCTGGAACAGGCTTGAACTCAATGTTATGAGTATTGAGTGAATAATGAGAAGAGATAAAGGAACACTGATGGTGCAAAGGTCAAATCTGATAGGACAGCTCTACTTTGTCCTCCAGATCACTATGAGTTGGAAGCTACATGATGACATATAACAACAGTAAATGATGCCACTCAATTTCTTTAACCCTTAATTCCCACCTTAGAGAATGAGTCATTAGGAAGTTGGAATTTTGTCTATATTTTTTAGATTAAAAAATTACCATTGCATTGTCTGCCATCTACCATTTCAGAAGCAACAAAAACCTTATCTTTTTAAAAATGATGCATTAAACACTCATTTATCTTCTTTCTTTCTTGTTGACCTATCAAAATGGTAGTAAAGGAATGAAAAGGTTATAAATTACAAAGACAAAGGACATGAACAAGAAGAACAGATAAGGAAATGTTCACAAAGATGTGGTAATTAAAATGCAAAGTGAGAAGAAATCAGAGCTCTAAGTAAACTCAGTCTTTCGAGTATTTCATAAGACTTGAGAATTGGGCTACCAGACTGCAAAAGATGAGAACGGAAAACATGGGACCGGCGTAAAGTTTCTATGTTTTGTGGTGTACCATCTGGTCCCATTTTTGCCTTTTCTTCTGAGCTTCTATACCAACTGCTCCTCGGAAGCCCTATACAGAGTAGCTATGGCTAGGAATCAACTCAATGGCACTTAGCAACAACAATAACAACAAACTCCAATAGGATGCTAAGAAGCATATTTTTTAACTTTTTAACATCTCTAGAATATGGGTGTAGTTTCAGGTGTTCAGTTCAGTTGTTCAGTCTTACAACCCATGACTTGTCTTTTAAATTGAAAGCATTTGTTTTTCTTTCTTGGTAATTGAAAAATGATTTATTTTACATTTAATGGCATCTTACATTCAGTAACACATAGAAATACGCCTGCTTTTCTGTTCACTTCAACCCCCACCCCCCCAGTAGTCATTGTTTTATCTTGGAATTTAATATAGAATGTTCTCAAATCTGTTTTTGATCTAATCTGTTTTGTCTTTCTCTGTAATTAAGCAAATGATTTTTATTATAGTAGTTAATACAGCAGTTGTCTTCTTCCAAGAGATACTCTCCCTCTACCCAGACTTCCAGTCCCTTTTTCTCCAGTCTACATGGTTTGCTGTCTAGAGCCCAGGACTTGCTCTGAGGCTTTTTGAGGCAGAATCCTTGCCCCATGTCTTCTTTTTCAGTTATTCCCTCATTAAAAGACAATTTCAGTCTTTCTTTTTCTGAAAATGTCTATCTACTACCCTCACATGTCACTGCTAGTTTATCTTAGCATAAAATCTGAATATCCTTTTCCTACAGAATGTGGAAGACTTTACTTCTTCATCTCCTAACATCCAAAACTGCCCCTCTGGTCCTCATTTTTCTATGTGGAGCATTAAGTTTTCTCTCAGGAAGTTGCTAGGATCTTCTCTTCATCACTGTATTCAGGACTTTCTTAAATGGTGGTCCATTTCTATGGCTTTTGTTTCATTCTTTATGCTGGGCAGTTAGCATGCTTTCAGTCTGGATTCTCATGTCTTTCTGTTGCAATGAATCTTTACTTAGGATTTCCTGGACAAATGATTTCTCTCTCTTTTTTTCTTTATGAAACTCCTATTCGTCAAATGTTGGGCCTTCCCAGTGGATCCTCTAAGTAAGTGCCTATCCACATCTCTCTTTTTCCATCTCTTGTCTTTTTTAGTTCTACTTGATTTCCAACCTGCCCTTTTTCTGTTCTCTCCATTCTGCCTGGTATCCCAAGTCCCAAACCTTTTCATTTCAATTTCTCTAGAACTTCTGATGTTTTTCTAGTCAGAGGGAAGGATATAGAAGTCAGTTCAAACTGACTTTGCAATCCAGCGAATTAACCCACAGCGTCACAACAGGAGCTATATTATTTATACTTATGATCAATTTTTCTATAAATTGTGATGTAATTTTATTACAAGAAGCAGAAGAGAAGTATGGGCATCTGTATGTGAAATATGAGTGCTAAACACTTATATAGCGAAAAAAGAAAGGCAGTAATGTCTAGAATTGATTCATCAGAATTAGCGGCATTATTGAGAACATGGGTATAACTACCTGAAGGAACAGAAGGAACAGTACATGGAAAGAGTGAGATTCTGGGCACTGGTTTATGATGGGTTGGGTTGGGATGAAGTGTTTCAGAGAAGTGCATAGTGAGAAACAATAGTTCTTTGTTGTACATGCATTATGATTATTTTAATATATGAATGTTGTTTTCAAGGAAACAAAAACTCAAATCAAAACCAAAACCATTGCCAATGTCAGTCAATTCTAAGTCATTACAACTTTATAGAACACAGTAGGACTGCCCCATCAGACTTTCCAAGGCTGTGAATCTTTACAGAAGCAGACTGCTCTTTCTCCTTCAGAGTGGCTGGTTCATGGCCAAACTCTTTAAAGACTGTGCCACAAGGATTCCTCAAGGAAACAAAAGTAGAGGAAAACACACACACACACACACACACACACATGGAGTTTAAAAATGGAGCACTTAGGGTTCCTAAATCTGCTCTTTCTCGAAATATTGTGATATTACACACACAAACATATACATTGAAAGCATGACTAAAGAATTTGCTCATCTTTTCAGGAAGCAATTGTTCCACAATGTTTCAGCCCATTTGATCTTTTTAGCAGCCTTGGCAGTCAAGTGCAATTACTGTTATTTCATATGTGTCACGGCTGACATGCAGGGAGCCATCATTGGCCTACCCTACCATGTGGTAACTCAATTGTGTCTTGGCTACAGAATCAGAGTCACTTCTCCCTCATGGAATGTCAGGTCCACCTGCTGTCATTCTGTTCCTTGATGTTTTAGAGGAAAGAGGAAGAAGAGAGGAAGCGAGGAGAAGAGCAGATCCGCCTCCAGGAGGAACGCAGGGCGAAAGAGCTTTACTGGACTTTGAAGCAAGCCCAGATTCAGAGCCATGCCAGTGAGAAGGAGGAGCATGAATGGGAAGAGCAGTGTAAGTAGAGTTGGAGTGTCCCACCTACCCTCCACCCACTGGTTGGTTAGCTCAGTCATCAGTTCAGTTGTTCACTAGTTTTTTTCACTTAGGGGATCCGTGGGTAAGTACCCTTTCAAGGAACTTATGGGCTGACTGGGAGGTTTCCTTCTATTTTGTTTCTTTTAAACTTTTCATTGTGAAATGAGTGAAGGTTTACAGAGTAGATCATCAGTTTTACATTCAACAAATCACATACTTTGCTTCATTATGAAGATTGAAATCCCCTCCATGTACCAACAATGAACAGTATTTACTTCTATGTGCTGTAACTATTGCATTTCTACCTGTGTCTCCCACTGCCTTCATTTTGTGCTTATGTGGCACTGGGAAATAATACGCTGGACTGCAACGTTGGTTTGAACCTCAAGGTTGGTGGTTCAGACTCACCAGCCACTCCTCCAAAACCATACACAGGATTGTTGTGAGTCAGAACCAATATGACGGCACTCAACAATAACAAAGATAAGCACTGCACTGCAAGGTCAATTTGTACTACAAGGTGGCAGTTCAAACCCACCTGTTGCTCCTCAGAAATCATACAGGGTCAGTATGAATCAGAACCAACTTGATGGCACTTAACAACAACAACCCTCCCTTGTTATCTATTGCCTGCCCTGTCATACATGTTAACATGTGTTTACTCTGTAGTCCATGAGTAACCTACAAACAAAATGAACTCAGTACAGAAAATTATGTGGAACAAAGAAACCAGCAGCCTTATAAAAAAAGAGCCCTATGGGAACGCTTTCTCTCTCTGTAGACTCTGGAGGAAATGCTTGTCTCTTTATTTTCTGCTTCTTGATTCTTTGGAGATGCCCATGTGTCTTGGTATCTATTCTGCCCTCCCGCCCCCCACCCCAGTAACCATCACCGATTGTTTCTTTTTTCTAGAAAACCTTTTCTTAACTTTTTACAATGTTGGTCTCTTACAATATTTGTCCTTTTGTTATTGATTAATTTCACTCAGTATAATGTCTTCCATGTTCATCCATGTTGTGAGGTGTTTGTCAGATTCATTGTTATTCTTCCATGTTACAGCACATGCCATTGTGTGTATGTACCAAAGTTTAACCACTCTTTTGTGGATGGGCATTTAGTGAAATTTTGATGTGTCTTTGGAAAGATCTTGTTTTCTTAGCCATTATGCTCTCTCTGTCTTTTGACCATTGCATTTAATCAAGTAACATTTATTGTAATTATTGATAGGTATGAATTGATTGCTGTCATTTTGCTGTTTTTTTTTTTTTTGTTGTTGTACTGCTGGTTTCTTCCACATAATTTTCTATGCTGAATTAATTTTCTTTGTGGATTTTCTTTTCAGTTTCATTTCTGTTTACTAAATCTTTAATCCTCTTTAAAAATTTTGATGTGCAGGTGTATTAATTTTCTTTGAGGTTACCTTGTAATTTATTAATGTTTCCTTGTTTAACAAAGCAGTCTATTTTATCTTTATATCTACTTGACTTCCTTGCCATTTGGAAGTTCTGTGTCTACAGTATTCCCTCTTTCAGCTTTGTAGTTGACTTCATTATACGTTGACAACTCTCATTCCCAATTTCCGGCAGTAGGTTTATTTTACTTTTAATACTACTATATCTCTATTGAGTTCTGCATGGTGTTGTTATGAATGTTAATCTCAGGTTATTGTCACTTCTCAGTCCAAAGAACATCCTTTAGAATTTTTGTAAAGTTGATCTGGTCATTACAAATTCCTTTATTTTCTGTTTATCAGGAAATGTTCTGAATTTGTTGTTATATTTGAGGGACAATGAAATGGTGTTATAGAAGATAAAAATAAGAAAGAAAAGAAAAGAATTAAATAAAAAAATTAAAAATAGATAAAAAAGAGACAAGAGGGACAGGAAAATGAAGCTATAGAAGAGAAAAATGACAGAGAAGATAAAAGAAAATAATAATTAAAATAAAAACAGGGAGAGGAAAAGAGGAAAAGAAAAAGAGTAGTGAAGAAAGATCAAAAGGTGAGAATATAAAAAAAAAGAGGAAATAATAAAAGAAAAACAAAAGCAGAGATAGAAAGGATAAAATTCAAAGGAATGGTAAGATAAGAATAAAGAGGATAAAGAATAAACAAAAACAGTGAAAAACAAAAGGAAAAAAAATCAAACCTCAAAACCAAAGTCACAGTGCAGCTGTTGGACCCAGAGAGGACACAACTCTGGGAGTCTCATGCAAGCCAAGGATCTCATGAGGTGGGTGCAAGAAGGATGGGACAGTAGAGTTCCTGGCCCTAGCTGGGGTTCCTATTGCCCTTAGTGTTATCTGAGTTCAGGGCACTCAATCTGCAAGTAGTTCTTGGAGGCCCTTGATGGAGTTGCTGGGGGCAAAGTGGTTAAATGTTGATCTGGTGGCTCTGTGGATTCTCAAAGTCTAGATCAAAAGGCTGTCATCTTTGGTTTTCAACAGTAAGTATTTCAAGTTCTTCTCATTTCCAGCAAGCATGATTGTGTCATCTGCATGTCACAGGTTGTTAACGAGTCTTCCTCCAATTCTGATGCCATGTTCTTCTTCATGTAATCCAGCTTTTTGTAGTATTTGCTCAGCATGCAGATTGAGTAAGTAAGGTGAAAGGATATTACCCTGGCACAGATCTTTTCTAATTTTAAACCTTTCAATATTCCCATGATCTGTTCGAACAATTGTCTCTTGGTCTATGTACAGGTTCCTCATGCTGTCGAGTCAATTCTGACTCATAGCGACCCTGGATAGAGTTTCTAAGGAGCAAGTGGTGAGTTTGAACTGCTGACCTTGTGGATCAAAGTGACCTTGCTTTATTCCACAGTGCCACACCAGGACTCCACAGGTTCCTCATAAGAACAATTAAGTGCTTTGGAATACACATTTTCCACAATGTTATGATCTGCACAGTTGAACACCTTTGTTAATCTCTAAATCTCAAGTAGACATCTTCCTTGTGTTCTTTGCTTCCATCCAAGATCCATCTGATATCAATAATGATATTTCTTGCTCCACATCCTCTTCTGAATCTGGCTTGAATTTCTGACAGCTCTCTGTCAATAATTCTTGCATTATATTCAGCAAAATTTTACTTGCATAAAATATTAATGATATTGTTTGAAGATTTTGCATTTCATTGAGTCACCTTTCCTTGTCGTGAGCACAAATATGAA